ATGTAAAGTTATTATATTACCCTTCAGTTCAATGTCATTTGTTTTGGTTTATTCGGACCGTTTTGGTCATTTGCACTCAGATTTTCCTTTTCGTTTGTTGCTTTCTACAACCTTCTAGATGTGTGTTTCTTTTTCTTCGTTTTTGGAGCAACTTTTCTCTCTTCCGTTTGTTTCCTTCTGCAACCTTCTAGATCTTTTTTTTTTCATTTCTCTTCGCTCTTTTCGTTCGCCCTTTTTTTCTCTTCTTCTTCTTCTCATTTGATTCCGTTTTCTTCCTTTGCTTCTGCTGAAATTTTTTCCTTTCTTCTTTTTTTTTTTTAATTTCATTATGTTCCATTGCTATCTTTTTTGTGGGCATTTTTTGGTTTTTCTTTCGTGATTTTGTTGTTTTCGTATCTTTGGTGGCATTTGTTTGGGTTTAAATTTGGGATTTTACGGTTTTCCTGTTAGTTCTTCTAAAATTGGTAGAATCTTTTGTTCTTAGTTTTGTTATTTTAAATTTTTTTTCTCCTTTCCTGCTTCGTTACTTTTTGTGGTTTTTTCTTTCCCTCTTCTTATCGTTACTTGCTTTGTTCCTTAGTTGTTCTGTATATATTATAGGTTTTCTTCTATAGTTGTTTTTAAATCCCAATTTTGTATTTTTAATTTTTAGCTTCTCCTTTTTCCACTGGGTTTCTCCCTTTATTATTTTCTTTTTATGAATTATATAGTACTTTGTTTGCTAACCTGTGATATTTAGTTCACATTTTTTGTAGATTTATTATCTTCTTCTTTGATCACTAATTTGTTTAGAAATTTCATTTGCGTTGGTGTCATTTTTCCTGACTAATTTCATACCGTATCAGGGTAAGTCTTGATTTTTTTTCTCTTTATTTATTGTATTGGTGAGTTGGGATCCTTATAGTGGCCATTTGCTTTCTAGGTTTGATGACATGATGATTTATACTAATTTTTTTCCAAACACATTAAATGAATTGATGATCTTTTTCCTGTGAATTCTCTGGAATTTTGACTAATTTTTCCTTTATGTTATCGAGAATGCTGCGTAATTTTAAGGAAAAAATTATCACTTTTCTTCCCTTTTTTTTTTTTTTTTTGCATTTTACTCTTTCTGAGGCTATTATTTTTTAAATAATGCTAGGGCTGTAATAGTTTTGTAATTTAATTAAGTAATGTTTATCATTTAAGTTTTCTTACTTCAATATACAATAGTACGTGTTACATTCCCAGAGGATACGGATTCTTCATGTACGTTGCTGTTTTCTTCTCCTGCGGTTGTTGTTTTGTTTCTTCAGCTTGGTTTTATCCCCTATCATTTGCTATTTCGGTCGACCATTTTTCATTTACTGCTCTGTTTCTTGACCTCTGGCCTTCTGATTGTTTGTGCTTGTTGTTCTTTTACCCATCATTACTCACTCTTTTGTTTCACCATTCATCATTTACTGCTCTATTTTCTTATGCTTTTATTTTGGAGCCTTTGTGTTCTCCTGTGGTTGGTTGATATATAACTTCAAGTACTATCAATACTTCCCTTTTATTTTTTTTGCAACATCACTAATATTTGCTCTTTGTTTGTTTTATTACTTTTATTAATTTATATTCTCACTGTTTTATTATTACTTAATAACATTGACCTGTTAGTTGATAGTATTTGTATATTTACTTGCAACTTATCTGTTTCGTGTTAACATACTTAGATGGATGTCCTTGCTTTATATCTTTTACAATTAACTTCTCTTTTTTGGTGTTTTTTTTTTTTCCTTATTCCTTTCTTTTTGGTTCTTTTTGTTTTCCTGATTCTTTTTCCCCTCCCTTTCTTATTTCCTCATGGCAATAATGATTATAAACGATTTTGACACTTTGAGTTTGATATAATTTCTTCAAAGATTGCTGTTAATGTAGTTCTTTCATTTTGCCCTCTTTTTGTCTACGTTTTTTGATTCAAAATCTTTTCCCATGTCTTTTTCCTTATTTTTTAACACATTCTCATACTTTTACTTTCTTTGGACCAATAATCAATTTAAATGTCATTTAAGTCTCTATCATTTCCTAATTCATAAAATTAATGTGTATATATATTAGCGATGATCATACTCAATTTTCACGTATTAAAGTTTGTTTGATTCGTCTAAAAAGTGATGTGGCTATGTCCAAAAAAATTAACTAATTTTTATCAATTATATATAAAAAGATAATATCTATTACTTCAAAGATATATATAATTTTTATTATTATCTCGGGGCTCTCCCGAAAGCAACAACACCAGCTCCAACATCAATCCACCCATAAACACTAAATCCAAAAAAATCAAGCACAAGGTTAGATATACCTACTAACTTACATTATTTATAAACAAAAAACAACATTTATAATTTCAAATATATATTTTAACAAATTTTTCCTGTTTCAGTTCTCAACAAAAGCAAACAGAACAACTTACGTCCAAGAATCAAGTAATGTCACTATTCCTAAATTAAAATATTTTTAATTTCATCAAATTATTAATACTAATTTATTAAAAATTCACCTTTTGCAGTTAAAAATAAAAAATGCAAATACTTTAGCACAACAACTTAATGCACAATGTAAATAAGTCTATGTTACTATATTGTAGATATTTATTTATCTGCATGTATATATATAAACTACATTTACTTAGAGCACAATGTAAACAAATTTATGCTACTATATTGTATATATTTATTTACACATATATAAATTACTTTTCCTTTTATATAATATAAAAATATTACCTGCAGCAAAATGCGGGTAACAAACTAGTATACTTCTATATAGATATAAAAATACATATGAATATCAGGACGGACGCAGACAGAGAAATGTTTTCTTTGTCCCTGTCCTACCCCCAATTGGCGATAAGGTTTTACCTTATCTTTAACGGTATTTTTAATTAAGGAGAAGAAGAGAAATAGACCAAGATTTAAGATGAATTAAAATTAATAGATCAATAGTTTACATAAGTTAATAAATAGGCTAAATTATTGTTTTCGTCCATAACTTGTCTGGTTATGAACTATAACTTAACAAGTTATTCATAGTTTTTATCCATAACTTGTATGACTATGAACTATAACTTGACAAGTTTGTCCATAACTTATCTGGTTATAAACCATAATTTGACAAGTTATAACCTATTAATTTCTATAACTAAAAATTAGCCTATATACTTTCTTAAAATTTTCATATTAGCCTATTTTTTACTATTTTCCTTTTAAAATTACTATTTCCCATCCCCTTCCTTTTAGGTTTAGGGCCCATCCCCATAAAAGTACTGCCATATATATATATTTTAAAAATCTCATATGAAACTATATAGATAAGTAACTGAATTAGATTAAATTTCAATAAGATAATTATTTTCTAATTATTCGACTTTGTAAATGTATACTTGTTATTTACTAAACACTTCTTACCATGGATATAATCAAAAAATAAGTTCATTTATTTATGTTTTAAGGTAATTAACGTAAATAATCTAACTTATTTAATAGGTGCCAGTTTAGTCTTTATTATTTTAATTTTGACAAAACACCTCAATCTTCTTAAATAGGTGTAATTTATATCTTTCCGTCTACTTCAGTCACCCCAATCTTTTAATTTTGACAGAATTAATATTGGAATTATTCTGTCGAAACTCTCACTTTGGTGAAACTAGATTTTTACTTTTTTTTTTTTGGGTTATTTTTTTTGCTTTTTTCATTGTCGAAGAATGACGCTCTGTGTGTGTATTAGAGCATTGTAAACAAATAATAATAATAATAATTTGCAGTGTATTTGTTAAATTTCTCTCTATAATTATGTAGGACTGTGGATAGGGAGTTTTTCTTGGGTTTGGCCATGGAAGTCGTGGGTAGTCAATAGCCTTTTGCTTTTTTTTTTTTTTTTTGGAAATCCAAATAGCCAATTTACGATTATATCCCCACTCAGAGGCTCACATGAAGGGTCACGGGCATGTTCTATGAAGAAATTAACGGGTATAGACAGAAATGTGTGAATTGCACTTATTTAAGAAGATTGAAGATATTTTGTCAAAATTAAAAAAATAAAAAATAAATTGTAACCTATTAAATAGGTTAGGAATTATTTGCCAATTACTTTATGTTTTATTAATTATTTTAGGGCTCTCAAAGTTTCATTTAAAAATTTAATATGTTAAAATAAATTTCTATTCTCTTTATATTTTTATGTCAATTTCACCTGTATTGGTATTTTCATTGATATTTTTATAAAATCCAAGCACTGATATTTCTATACTTTCATTAAGAATTCATGGCTAATTGCATTAATAAAAAGTAATTGCAGAGATAATCTAGCTGTAATTAGTATTACGCCTTTGATTTTACCCCGATTTTTTCCCCCCCCCTCAAGGTTTTTTTTTTTTTTTTTTTTTTTTTTTTTTTTTTTTTAAGCGAATGTTTTGTTTTTGTTTTTTGTTTTTTTGTTTTTTTCATTTTGGGCCTTCTCTCCGTGCTAGGGCTTTTTTAGGGTTTCTCTAAAGCTCTTCTATAAAGGGGAACGGTGCCGTTCATTCTTTGACAGAGGTTGCCTCTCTGTTACGGAAAAACGCAGCAGTCACTCACTCCTTTTCCTTCCTATCTATTTTCCAGGAAAATTCTTCGCTTCTTTTCCTCTATTTTCCAGGAAAATTCTTCGCCTTCTTTTCCTCTATTTTCCTTCCCTTTCTACTTTCTCTTCTTTGTTTATTGTGAATTAGGGTTTGCCTAATATTGCAATTCTTTGATTCTGAAAAACCATTTTCGGTAGATCAAGGAATCTATCGTTAGGCTATAGTGACGCCAAATACGCACAGAGAAATCTGTGTATTTCCACCTTTAGCTCCGATTATCCTTTAGAGTTTTCTTTGCCCTTTAAAATAGGATTATTTCGGTTATAAGGTTGATATATATATATGTATATGTATATATGTATATATTCTCTTATCTTAAATTGCTTTATGAATTTGTTTGGGTATTTGATGTTTTGGGATGATGAAACAAATCAGACGGATTCCCACTGATAAATTCGTTTATGTGATTACACAACCAGCTACTTCTGACCCACATCGTTACCCATATTCTTTGTATTTTGTTTTCTGACTGTATTTTTTATTGGTATGATAATGATTAATGGAAAAGGCCGGTGATGTGATTAAAATATTTGCTACTCTTGATGGGACTCTCATCCCATCTGATGATTCTTATCCACCAAGATCTCTGAGGCTGTCTATATTTTTTCTGGTATTGAGAAAATTGCTTTCTCTATACCATTGCCGTCGCTGGACAAGAGATCGCCGGCACGACGGACACCGCTTCCTCACCGTGAGATCGCGAACAGTCTCCCCAAACGTCGCGGGATTCTGCGAGCGTCTCTCTATCGGCGGATCTTAGATCTCCTGGACTCTAATCTTCGGTAATAATCTTTCTTCTTTGCTTCAATTTTTCCTACGTTTACCCTTTCTTATTCTCTTTTTGATTTCGTTGAAGCTTTCTGTGTTCTTGTTCCGATATTATTTATGGCTCTTGCATTGATGGCTTTACGTTACTCATTGTTCATCTCAAGAAATTTATGGAGGATTGTTTTATGGAAGAGTTTTCTTTTTGTTTTTCCTCTCCAATCCTTCCTTTCTTCATTTCCATATAATCATTTTTGTCTTTTTTTTTTTCAATTGAATATATGCTATTTCAGTATTGTTTTTTGGTTTGTGACTTTTAATTTGAAGTTACTTTTTGACATTGGCTTCACTATCTGGTTGGTGTGGATGATTTTCATCAAATTCCCATCCGACTCGTTCCCTTGAAGCAATATTAATAGGTGTTGCTTGCTTTTTCTATTTTTTTTTCCCTCTTTTTCAAATAAAGGAAAATAAAACTGGGGCGAGCAGCTATATTTTATTTTATTTAATTGTTCAAAAAATAAATGAGTAACTGTGATGAGTCTCTACAGACCTGTAATGATTTGCGGATATGATCGCACATCTTAAGAACATCTAAGGGACTGAGTTTCTTTTTGAGAATTTGTAAACGTTTTCTTTTTGTTATTATTTTCTTTTTTTGAGAATTTATTTGGCTTCTTGTTTTATTCTAGTCGACATACACCGATTTAAGTTTAGATTTCGTGTTTGTTGTTAATTGAAGCCAAATATAAAATGTTCCCCTCGCTATCCAGTGCCTGCTTTTTATGTTGCATTTGGACGTTGGGGAACTACATTGGATTAAACCTTTTAGTCTAACTTGTTTTCTCAAATTCCAGGCTGGGGGTGCGCAAAATATTGTTTAGGAAAAACCGAGTGTTTTACATGTTTTCTCGCCAGCAAAATATTAGGGTTTAAAAAAGTATGTCTAGGCGTATCTAGAGCTTAAATTAATAACCAAAGCCAAAAATAGAGAAATTGAGTGTTTTTCTTGTTTTCTTGCATCACTCATGTTATTTAGTGGCTAATTAGTGATATCTCACGTACAAAAGCCGGGGGAGCGCAAAATATTTTGCTCTAAACAAGTAACTCTTGCCCTATCCACATATTTGAAAATGGAGGAGTGTAACTTGAGTGTAGTTTTTGAGTTGAATTTGAATTATAATTTTAGTTGAAGTTAGAACTTGAATAAAGTTGAGTAAAATTAAATAAAGTTGAAACTTAAAAGAACGTAAACTTAAATAAAGTTGAAATTTGAGTTGTCTTTTTTTGAGTTTTTTAGACAAAAGAACATGCTTTAGTGATTTAAATTGTTTTCTTGTTTCACCTATGTTATTTGAGCGAATCGTGCCAGTGTATTTAGAGCTTAATTAATTACCAAAGCCAAAAATTGAAAAATTGAGAGTTTTCCCGCTTGACTTGTGTCATTTTAAAGCGAATCGTGCCTAGTTAAAGATATGTCGCATACAAAGGCCGGGCGAGCGCAAAATATTTTGGCCTAAACAATGGAGAAATTGAGGGATTTAAATTGTTTCGCGGCTTCACCCATGTTGTTTAGAGTGAATTGCGCCTAATTAGTGATCGCATATGAAGACTAGGGGCTCACAAAATATTACAGTTGTTTTTGAGTAAAATATGACTCACAAAATATTAAGGGCAATTTATTGCTGACGACAGTGTTGAGGTCATTGTTGACATGTAAGTGCTGACGTGTAAGTGTTGATGTTTTAATGCTGACCGGTCAATGCTGATGTTGACGTTGAGGTGTGGCGTATTAGTGTGCGGGCACTGATGCATCAGCACTGACGTGTTAGTGTTGATGTCAGCATTGAGGCGCGGGCTCGTCCAAGCGGGCGTGCGTGGGTCCTAGTGCGCATGCGGTCGCTCAGAGATCGTGCACGATCAGTTGTGGTAGCGCTTGCGGGTGCGTCAGCGCGTGCGGGGGCCGCGTTCCTGCGCGTGTAGGCCTGTTAGAGCGCGCGGGTATGTCAACGAGCGCTTGGGTGCGTCAGAGCGCGTGCATGGGTGCATTAGTGCGCGCACGGCCGCGTCAAAGCTCTTGTGGGCCCATCACCGCATGCGCGTGCGGGCCGCATTAGGGTGTGCTCGGGCACTTCAGGGAGCGTGCGCGGGCGCGTAAGAGCGTCTTGGTGGGCGCATCAGAGTCGGCGCGGGGGTGCATCAGAATTTATCCCTCGATTAAATTCAAGATTAAAATTTTTGGTACATTAATAAATAACAATGAATTCAAGATTTACTGAATTTACCCTATGATTAAATTTGATGAAAATTATTTTAACTAACAATTTTTTGATGAATCGTCTTTATTTTAGTTAAATATAAATTATTTTAATATTTATTAAATTTAAAATATAAATAATTTTATTAAATTTAGAAAAATCTTTGCATTTTTTATAGTAAAAGAATAAAATAATAAAAATAATAAAGTAACTAGCTAATATAGGTTAGTTATATTTAAGTAGTGTGGAATCCATTTTTTCAAATAACTAACAATTTAACTAAAGGTTGAATTGGAGAAAAATAAAAAAAAAAGGTTAAATTATTAACCATTTTAATTAAAAATATGAAATAACGTTAGCATGATTGGAGTTGGTCTGTTAGTAAAAAAATTGAGAAATTTTCAAAAATGTCATGAAAATAAAAATTGAAAAATCCATTTAAACTTATATACAATTAGATTTTTCATAGGATTAAATAACAAAATTTTCTTTGAATTATGACTCGTGTAGCATTTTTTTTTTCAATCTTTAAATCCCTTCCTTATGACTATGAATTGTTAACAAAAATACCCTTTCAATTAGTGCTTCTAACAGAAACGCCATGCCTTACAAATATTGACTTTTGCGATACAATTTGATGCTATATTACTCTTCTACCCATCATTCTTAAATTAATATTTGAAAAAATAAATTTTAATTTTAATTTAATATGATAATAAATAAAATAAAACAATTGAACAAAATTTTTAATTTTACTCTTTTAATTAATTAACTAAATAAAAATTACTTAGAAAGTTTTAAATTTTTAATTAGTAATATTTTTGTAAAGAACATATATGATTACAAAAATATCCCTCAATCACATAATATGGCCATGTTAGAAAATAGATAGAAAGAGAATTTTGTTAATAATTCATAGTTTATGGATAATAAGTGTGATGTTTTAAAGATCATGAATAAAGTGTTATACAAGTCATAATTCATATGAATTTATCTAAAACAAATATTTATAAAAGATGAGTAGAGAATCATCAAATGTAAAAGAATAAGATAAGAAAATAGAACAAAAAGGTGATGTCATCTATACATATTTAAAAGAGCTAAGCGCCTTTTCGTTCATTTTAAAAAAATTTTGACTCTTTTTTTCTTTTTCCATTTTTTACCTTTTTTTATTTTTATTCTCTCACTTTTTTTTTCCTATTGTCCTTTTTTCTCTATACATCTAATTTAATCTCTAATCTAATTAAACAATCTCTAATCTAATCAAACAATCTAACAATACACAAAAGAGCCAGACCTTTTTTCTTTTTTATGGCAGCTCTTCCACTTATATTTTTTCTTTTTATTTTTTGTGAATTTTTTTACAATTTAATTTTTGTGTGTTTTTTAAAAATATATTGTTTCTTCATTTTACTCATATTCCTATTTTTTTAGTTGGTTAAAATAATTTTTTTTTTAAATTTGTCCCTACTTAAATTTTTTGTCAATTGTTATCTTTACACATATTTTAAAATAAATATAAAATACCTTAAATGATTGTATAAATAAATGTTTAATTATTTAATAAATAATAAACTCCTTAGATGTTTTGCAACACAACAATACGTATGGAGCACGTTACAAAATTAGTGTATCAAAAAGAAAGAGAAGTCCCTTTGTGATGCCACATGTCAAAAGGAAAGAAAAAGCCTTATGGCTCTTTTTATGTATGTTATGATTAAAAAATAAATTATACTTTAAATTTAATATTATAATAAATAAAATAAAGCAACAAAATAAAATTTTTAATTTTGCTCTTCCAATTAATCAATTAAATAAAAATTACTTGGAAAGTTTAAGAAAAATTGTAATAACTAATAAAAAATAACTTACATCGAAAAAATTTAAAAAATCTTTATTTACGTGTATATGAATGATGGAAAAAACACAAAAAAACTATTTACGTGTAAATAGTAGATCTTAAAACTATTTAAAATTCTTTTTATTAGTTGTAAAAAAAATATGGGAAAAACATGTTTTTACCAAGTGTATATGAATGATTTACGCAGTAAATGATTTATTTACCATATAAACTGTTATTTATATTAAATAGAATTAAAATATGCTATTTACTTAATTTAGTTTTAAAAATATGTTATTTACTATATTCTCTCGATAAATTAATAATATTTTTTGAATAACATGTATGATTACAAAAATACCCTCCATTTATGTAATATGAGTCACTTTTCTCTTAGAAAACTAACAGAATGAGCATTTTTATTAACGATTCATAGTTTAGAAAGAACATGTATTACGTTTTAAAGATCAAAGAATAAAGTGTTATACAAGTCACAATTTACGGAGAATTTTTGTAATTAATCATTTTTTCATATTATGGGTGTGACATATATCCTATCTCTTATACAACGGAATTTGCACAAATTATATCAACTTATACCAAAGGACAACAAACAGATATGCACTAGTTCATTACAATTCCCTCAATAAACATACTGTTGGGCGGCATTTCCGGAATCATTAAATGTGCAATAAATTCAAAGGCTCATCGGAGCCCAAATTCTCCCGAGTCCAAGCTATCTTGAGCCCAAGCTCTCCCGAGTCCAAACTCTCCCAATCCGAAAGTTTAAAGGTCGTGTGATGTTATCAAGTGAAGTAACTGACACTCATTGAGATATTGAATGGTTGAAAGTTAATTTTCATTAATTATTTATCAGTTTTAACTCACAAAAAGATAAAGAGCCTCATTGTAATTAAGAGAGAATAAACTCTTGAATTAATGGGAGAATTAAACTCCCTCAATCATAATGTACTATAAATTTCCTCAATTTGAGAGGAAAAGGGACACTCATTTCTGAATACAATTGCCTTGTGATTGTCTTCATGTTTTTGTTATTCCATCAGAGGTTCTTTGTGTTCTTCTAATTTCTTTAGATAATTTATTTATTCAATCCAAATTATTAGTCTAGAGACATTGGATAAGTATTGGACGAAATTTTCCTCCTAACACATACTACTACATCCTTTGTTCATTTGCTGCATGAAAAATATACACTTGTATTACAGAATGCCACATTGTTGAGCCTGTGTCGTAAGTTTCTTAAAAAATGCTTCTCCATTATTATATACTTGCACCATTACCTGAATACCCCTCAACCTCAAAGAGTATTATTATATTGTCTCAAACTGTCATAAATCTGCCAACATCTCCACGTGTTAAGTTTAAGGTTTTTGGTAAATTTGCAACTATATGACTATATTTGGATAAGGTTTGTTTAATTTATTTAATAAGTCGTGTTAAAAAAAAAAAATTCCAATCTGTTTTTGCATCTTTTATTAATTCATGCTTCCAGAACTCATATTTAATAATGAAGATTGTGACGTTTCGTGTATGGGAATTACATCACGTGTTCTGAGTAGAACCAATGAAAATTGTCATCTTTATCATATTTTTGACAATTGTTGGTTTGCAAATTAACAACCAATGCCATTATTGTAACATAGGTGTCGCTCCAGTTTGCTAACCGCAGTGGAGACATTACTTAAATATATGTTTATAATCTTTTTAAAAATGTTTTCATAAGATAATTTTTTTTTTCTTTTTCGAATGCCAGAAATTGAGTGCTTACACATCTTTTATTGTATAAAAAAGTTGGGAAAAATGTATTTGCAAATATTTTGGCTGTATTTGAGAGGAAAGAAATCAGAACATTATTTGCGAAGCAGTACATGTAACATTTGTATTAAAAGGCGAGAAAATCATGTTGCTTGGAAGTTTTAGGGTTCGTGTTACATTAAAATGGTATTGAAAAATACATCTAAACAATACGAAAGCAGCACAGTAAAATTTTATTACATTTAGAAGTAGGCAGGTACTTTAAGGAGAAAAATGTTACACCACGTCCTATGAATAATTTGAAGTAAGATGTTAAGAAACTGTATAATACATTTTGTACGGCAGGAATGATTCAGCCAAACGTCAACAGGATCAATCACACCTTCCGCTTGCAATTACACTTCTGTTTAGTTGACTCGAATCTAGCGTTCTTTTCACAACTTAAATCATAACTTAAATTTTTTTATCTAAGAATCAATATTGGAATAAAATAATTAAATTTAAATTTTTATGAAAGAATATTATTGCAAAAGACGGCCCCGTTCATTTCGCTGATTCGAGTTTAAAATTCGAGTTTTACTACAGTAAAAAACTCTCACAAATAATCAAATCTAACCTTTTTGTTACAGTAAAAAACTCTCACATAAAATCATATCTCAACTCGAATTAAAAACTTGAATCAGCGAACTAAACAGGCCTTATGATTTGAGTTGTTCAAATAACATGTGAGTAAATAAAAGTTTTTCTAATAATAAAATTCGGGGACCCTCACAATTGACCGAGTAAGACCTTCTGTACGGGAGGTGCGTACCAAAATTCGTAGTCTTAAAAACAATACTTAAAGCATCTCCAACTATATTAATTATTTCATATTTTTAATTAAAATGACTAATGATTTAACTTTTTTTTGGTTTTTTTTTCCCTCAAACTATTAGCCAAATAGTTAGTTATTTTAAAGAACACATTTCACGCTAGTTAAATATAGCTAGCAAGAAGAGATGAGTCATTTTAGTTTTTCAATTATTTTATTTTTTAAAAAACAGTAATAAATCTAAGGTTTCTTTTTTAAATTCAATAAAGTTATTTGTATTCCAAATTCAATAATTATTTAAAATATTTTATGCTTAGCTAAAATAACGAGTATGATTAGAGTGATTCACCTAAAAGTTACTAGTTAAAATAGTTTATTAAGTAAAAGTTAGCTAAATTTTAAATAATTCCCTAGAGATTTAGACCTTATTCGGGAGACTCATTTTTGAGTCAAAAACTAAAAAAAAAAACAACTCGAGTTATAATTTTATTCAAGTTCATGTTCTTTTAAGTATGAACTCGATTAAAACTCGAGTTCAAATTTTCCCTTCAACTCGAGTTCAAGTTTTCCCTTCAACTCGAGTTCTAAACTCGAACTCAAATTAATGAACAATATTTTTTTTATTCTTAAAAATGCTATAACTTTTTCGTTTTAATTATAATTGAAATGATTTTTTTCTATGCGTTGACAACGAAAAGACGAATAAAACACCCCCATATACCCTATTAAAATTTTTCATCAACATTAAATTTTTATTAAAATACTATATAAATACAAATTCAAGTTTTGACTCACTCAAACACAAACTCAAAAAAATTCTTATATCAAACCATAACTCAAATTTACACAACCAAACACAAACTCAAGTTATAACTTCAACTCAAATTATAACTCAAACTCAATTCAAAATTTACACTCAAATTACCTAACTCAAAAACGCCAAAAGAATAGGCCCTAACATCGTAGCCATCAATCTTGTAATTGGAGTCGTGTGATTAATGAAAGTTACATGAAGAATAAACAACACAATGAATTGGTAAACTGTTCTAATTTACATCACATCACTAGAATTCTATGACAGGAAATTTAAGAAATACCTTACTAGTAGAACATAATTATAATCGTCAATCATATTAAAGCATCTTCAACTATGTCAATTATTTCATGTCTTTAGTCAAAATGATTAATGATTTATGTTTTTTTTTTTTTTTTCTCCTCTCCAACCATTAATCAAATGATTAACTCTTTTAAAAAATGCATTTCATACTAGACAAATATAACTAACCAGAGGAACTAGATATTTAATTTTTCTATTACTTTATCCTTTCATATAGTAATAAATGCAACATTTTTGAATTTAATAAAAGTATTTACATTTTAAATTCAATAGATATTAAAACAATCTATGTGTAGTTAAAATAGAGTGTATAGTTAGAGTGGCTCACTCAAAGGCCAAATATTGCTAACTAAAATAGCTTTCTATCTATTCAATTAAAATTTAGATAATTCCCTTAAAAATGCTCTTAGTAATTAGTATTATATAAATTAAAAAGGTAAGATAATTCAACAGAACTTGATGAAAAAATGACAGTTCAAAAGTTAGAACTGTGCTCTACGGTTACCCTACCTAAAATTCTCCCAATTCTTTGGATAAAGTGAAGTAAACATATGCTGAATGTAGGCCAATTAATATTCATAACAAAGAGGGGCAAAACCAGGAGAGAGATTCAAAAAACTAGGGAAAATATGTAAGCAGCAATCTGGTAAAACTCATAACTTCTCTAGACATTCAGAAAACTAGAGAACACATTAGCAACTAGATTCTTCCATTTTACTCAGAGTCTCAGTACATGAAAGAACTTAACACTGAAAAGAAGTCAAATAAACAAATAGAGAGAGAGATCGAAATCAGAGTAGGGCAAGAATAGTCTGATGAATAGACCGGAAAGTTGTTTCTCTGCTCCATATTAAGTACTGAAGAAACAATACCTTTAACTTTTTTTTTTTTTTTTTTTTTTGAATTTCACAATTGATTCTTGCTGATGAAGGCAAAAATTGACAACCTATTATTAGTGGTGTAGATTGACAAAGTATTTATCCATTACTACATCCTCAACTCAAGAACTTAGCTAATGACGGGATTTGTTTCAATCAAAAAACAACATTGTACTCAGTTTAAAAAAGAAATTAGCCAGTGATGGAATTTTTTCCAGTCTCATGAGTTAGAGACACTAATAGAAGCTGAAAAGTGACAAATACAGTTTCATTTAGACATAAAAATCCATATCTCACCTCACTTAGCATCATCCGGATACCAACTTTATAACAACACACAAGGAGTTGAGCAGTATCAGAGGAAATCTCAAATACTGGGTTGCATAGATAAGACCTACAATCTGTCCCTTGAATGACTTAGTCTTTCCCACCGAGAACTCCGAGAAGCTCCATCCTCTGGGAGCAAGGAAGCGGTCCTCATTCAATATCGCTAGTGCATTCGCAAGAAGCAAGAAGCCCTCAAGTAGTGTCCACAGACCCATTTACCTATAGCAAATTAGAGTTTATTCAATCCAATAGAACCTTCAAATGACCATAGTTTGGCCCATTCAATAACAATGACAGTAAAATCTTCAAAATGGTGGTGAACTATCAGGATCTGGCAACAAAGATTACCGGACGGCAGGGATTTAGATTTTTTCAGCACAGAAAATACTCTGCATAAACTTCATTAACTGAGAGTTCCCAAGCTAAAAAATAAGTAATGCAACAAAAAATTTTGAACCCCATGAGACTAAAAAACTACAGTCATATCAAGAAATATGCTTATTAGATTTCATGAACACAAGAATAGCCCTCAACAGGAAAACCCATTAGGTTGTGAGGTGAAGAACATGCACAAATACACAAAAGAAAATCATAAGAGGCAATACCAACAAAAGCATATCTTTGTATTTTTGCTAATAACCATAGCATAACAGTGTCGTATTTGCTTCAAAAAACGCATAAAGCAAAAATTAACAGATGCATTTAAAGAAAATTCGCCACAAGAGATTAAGAAAAGAAAAGGGAAAAAAAAAACACACACAAATATATAAAATGGTAGATTTAAATCACTTAGCCCTCTTATAATTGCATCGTTACAAGTTCACGTTTACGGGTCTCCAGAGATCTATTAATTTATATACATTCTATTATTTTATTTTATTTTGTTCATCAACCTTCTGAGAATATTTTTCATTTTGATGTTTATGTTGCAGCAAACAGTTACACAAGAAAGGAAGCAAAAAAAAAAAAAAAGGAAAAAAAAAAGGAAATCTCACAGTATCCACTATGCTAACGTGATTGAAGAAATTAGAGTGTGAATCTGAAATACTCTCGCTGGCAAATCCAGAAGTTGAAGCCAAAAACGTTGAAAAACCACTCAGAACTCAGAAGAGGATAATTCAACAAGACAAAAAAGAAATTAAAAATTAAAAATGGAGTTCCTGAAGCGAGAACCTGGATCGTCAAAGCTTGGAAATATAAATGAGAGCGATCGATCTCTCTCTCCTCTTTGCAACTCGAACCAAGAGAGAAAGAAATATGGATCAAAGGTTGAGATGAAGAGGACAGGGTTGGAGAGTGAGGAGTCGACCGTCGAGATTCAAGACAGGTTTAATTTCACTTTTGGCCCCTTAATTATGTTATTTATCTTATTTTGGCCCCAAAAACTTAAAAAAAATGAAAATATTGCTAAACTTATCCTGAATGCATAAGTATTAGGGGTATCAATTTGTGTCACGTGTCATGTTTTGATAATTTTTTTCTAAATTTGCAATCAATCCGAATACGACCTGTGACACGAAATTTTTTAAAAACCGCAACACGAACACGACACAACCACTTTACGGGTTGACACGACACGACACGAAAATAATCCGTGACACGAAATTGACTAATATAGTTATCCTGAATGCATGAGTATAGATTTTTAACTCTTGTTATTAATTAATACATTTTTTATTAATATAGTTATTTGATTAAAAAAGATATTAATAAAGATTAAGAGGTAAAAATTTAGCAGAAGACATGAAATTTTTTAAAATTTATTATAAACGCCTTTAACCAAAACATTTATCAATGTCACACACTCCCTAAATTTTGTAACTTTTTACATAAAATGATCGAAATACTCAAACAATCTTTGTCATTAATTTATTTATTGCATTAATCTCAACCCCTTGATAATGTTATTTTTTTTGACCTTTCAACTGCTAGTTAGTTCTAAGTTGTGATTCACTAAAAAATAAAGGAGTAAAAGTGCTAAAATCCCCATTAAAAAGTAATATTACTCAATTAAGTTGAATAATAAGCATATTACCCCATTAAAAAGTAATATTTAGGTAAAGGTGATTAAGTTTTTCAACTTGAGAGTCATTTTTTTTTTCCTATTCTATTCTATTTTATTTATTTTCATGAGAAATGGGTGAGATTGGAGTCGAGAGAGGGCTAAAGAAAAAGGATATATTAGTATTATTTGACTGTCCACAATACAGAATCCATATACATTACACAACATTTTTCATATTAGTCCCAATATAAAAATTACTTCCTTGGAAAGTTTCCTTGCCAAGCAAGTAAGCCTTTAAATGTAGGCTCCACTTTGAAGTGGCAAAAAATAAATAGTAAAATTATATGTCAATGGTTCGCAAGACCTACAGACTAATTTTACTCCCAGTTGAGATTCTTCATTCCACGGAACTAACCGCTTTCTGCTTATCTTCCAAGGCCAGAGGTAGACCAGTTTCTTCAATATCTTTGACAAAAGTTCTAAGACAACCGTTGATAACTCGCGGAGCCGCTCCGTCACAGAATCGTTTTGCAAGATCCACGGCCTTGTCAATATAACCATACATAAATACAATTACACAAATGGTAATGTAGATTTATAAAAGTTATAATTACAGAAGAATACCTCGTTAATGACAATCTGGTGTCGGGTTCCCAGCACTGATATTTCAGACATTGCTAAATGAAGAATACAGAACTCCAAAATTCTTCCGGCAGGCTCATTCTGTAGACATAAATGATCAAAGCACGGTATTCAGCCAAAAAAAAAAAAAAAAAAAGAAGATCGATCAAGCATGTTGGTAAAGGTTAGGTGACACTTTAGCAATTAATGGAAGAAAACTATTAAAATAAATATTTTCTCAGGCCAAATCATATAAAGGAAACTGGGAAAAAAGAAGAAGCTCCGTTATATAATTGGAGATGTCATGACCAGCAAGAATATAAGGCAGTAATTTAGTAGTCTGCTTGAAAGGAAATTTAATAATGAATTTGAAAAGAAAAGGCTGCTCCAATGAGAATTTACAAGGTTATCACGCTTTCCAAAAGATGATCATTTGTTTTTGGACTAATGACAACTAAATGCTTTCAACTATTCATTAAAAAAACTTAATGCTATCAACTACTATAGATTATGGTATTTTAATACAACTATAAGTTCAGGCAGCAGAATGAGTTGGGTAAGAAATGCCCACAAACTTTAAAAAGAATGCAAGGTTTACTACTTAATGATGCAATTACACAATTTCCATGCAGAACTACTTCGAGCCAGTAGTGAGTCAATAACTAACTAACTATGGGCAATTAAAAGTTTTAATATGGATGTCGACGTGATATTACCATTCAGTGTCAACTCACAGATACAAGAAGTCTATGGGTGGTTTAAGAAACACAGCTCGAGCATAAAAGTATATAAGCAAACTTCAGAATGAAAGAAATAGGATATACAACCAGGAATGCGTGAGTAATCCCGGCAGACAAATATAGAAATACACAGAAGAACATGGAACGGAAACTATAGTTGCTGTTTTAATCTTCAAATTTATATTGTTATGCTTCTTCTCATACACCTTGTCATTTCTTCCTCCTCTCCAGATCATAAAAATATATGCATCACCATTCCATGCACATTAATGATGGAAGAGGCCCAAAGAAAGCAGGCAAATAGAAGGCCGAAAAAGAAAAAAGAGCAAAGCATAGCAAGACATATGCCCCAAAAAACAAAACAACAATCGTTGCGAAACTATAGTTGGTGCAACACTAGCATCTATAAACATTCCTCGTATGAGGATGTTGAACACAACACTGGGATAATAAAGCTACTTTTATTAAATTAAAAGCACTTAATATATCAAGATCCTAAATTACACACAACCAAGAGTACCCACAACTTACACTAAAAACTGGACTTTTTCTCTCACACTACAAAGCACTCTCACATTACACTAATTGCACACAACACTCACTTCTTCAATTTGCCGTGGAATGGAGTGAAGGCCAAAGGCCTTATTTATAGTTAAAGTAAGCTTTTAGATTATTGACACTTGGAATGATCCAAGACAATTGGGAGCTTTCCTTGAAGCTTCCTGGCGTGATGTTAACGCGATCGGCAAGCTTTTTTACTTGATGAAAGCTTTGTGGGCATATAAACATTAATATTGGACTTTGTAGCTATTGAGCCTTATTGGGCCGGAGTTGATCTTCAATTTAGGAAACAATGGTTACTCATAAGTGCAGTGTTCATCATAGTGTATTATACCTTCCAACAAGGATTGTGCAAAAAAAGTAAAAACGTTCAAAAAACTAGAGCTCTACTAATACAAGAGAAGTGTAGTATACCTTCCAATTTGGAGGGGCAACTTTGTCAATGACAATGACGTGACTGTCCCATTGATCCGAGACTGCAACTAAAAGTTTCCTCGTTAAACTGTAATGAAAACGTTAATACGTAATTAGTTTCCCTTTTAACGTAATAGACACGCTCCACCTCTGATAAATGAGAGCTTTAATACATGATGAACTTGAACGCAGATTAGATATTAGTAGGCTTACCGCAGAATGAGTTTACTGTACACCAACTTCGGAGGAGCTCCAAGGACCTCTGCTTCTGAGGTACGAACAAGACAAAGTTAATGCCCTGACAAGAGTCACATAACGAGACGGAAAACTACAACAGCTAAAACTCATTACAACCATCCTTTCGAAGCTTAGAAAACTGGTAAAAAAAAAGTTCTGGCATAAGAAGTAGCAAAATATGTTCTTGTAGATGCCTCAACGAATTCTATCTCATTTCAAGTTCTTCTTATGAGCATCCACATTTGTGAAGTGAAGTCCATTACTCCATAGAGTTAGCCTCTAACATCATCTTACAAATCAACTTCTAAAAACCCTTCAGACTTATATACTCATTACTTCACTTTGAAGAATCAATGAAACACACTAACCAATGTCAGATTCCTTCTTATCATTGCGCGTAAGTTCCTCTTCCTCTTCAAGAGTCTCTACTGTAACAGGAGGCCCTCCAAAACTCATGTGGTTGTACTGCAACAACGATTCCTTGTCGAACTCATAGCCGGGTTCTGAGAAAACACAAGAGAAACCAATTCTTTTATGAATTCAAAGAAATTCGGTGAGGAATTTCAACAAACAGAACATGGGCATTGCATAACATAACATAATACAATAACTGTCACCTCGACGGGCGTTGATTCTCTTCTCGAATAACCGAACAGGGTCAGACCCTTCTAAACAAGACGCGTAAACAATGGACCTGAATTTTTTTGTAAAAAATGGACCTGAATTTTTTTCAATTTTAATTTTTGAAAAAAAAAAAAAAAAAAAAAAAAAAAAAAACTCAGATTAAAAATATCTTTAAGGCAATAAAATAAAAGAATAAAAAGAAAGTGAGAAAGTGGAATATTACTTACAGAGCAAGTTCACGGGCGGCTCTGGGGCTGCAGAACCTGCCGAAGCGGTCGGTCTTAGGCAAGGCGTCTGAGGAAGAGGAAGTGGAATTGGAGTTGTGGGTGTTGGGTGTTTCCACGAAGAATGTGGAGCTGCGAAGAGAGGCTCTGGGGCAGAGGAGAGAGAGAGACTGAGAAGAAGAAGAGTGAGGAAGAGAGAGAGAAAAGGAGAGAGAGAAAGAGAAAGCGGGAGAGAAATGGAGTGGTTGTCTGAGTCTGAAGGTGGGAAGAGAAGAGGTGGTGGAGCTGAGAAGAGAAATTCCCTCCATTGTTGATGAATGTTTCCGAGGAGGAGTTTTGGATAAATGGTAATGTAGAGATTAAAAAAAAAAAAAAAAAGAAGAGAGATTTTAAGGGGGTTTTGCAAATTGCTTGCGTTCCTTGCGTCATCAGCTTAATTGAGATTCATTACTCAACATTGGTTACTTCATGTCGTTTGTCGACAGAGAATTTCGGTTTTATTTTTTTTATTATTCCAAACGACATGACTTGTCTTTAACGGAGCAAGAAAACACTGAAGAAATAAATAAATTTTAGAGAAAAAATGAAAACAGAAAAGATTAAATTTTAGGACTAAAATAAAAAATGGTAATTAAAATGAATAAAAATGAGTTTTTAAGGTAAAAATAACTAAGACGGAAAAAAAGTTTCAGTGGAAAAATTAAAGGAAGGATAAAAAAGGACCTAAATAAATAAATTTTAGAGTAAAAAAACCAAAATGAAAGCAAAATATAATTTTAGGATAAAAATATCAAAATAATAAAAAATGACTAAAATGAAAGAATAAATAAGTTTTAGGGCACAATGGGAAAGAAATATATAAGTAGGTTAACATCTATAAAAAAAAACTAACTTGGGTAAATGAAACAAAAAAATTAGAAAGAAGGCCAACAATGAAAAAATATAAAACTCTAAGGAAAAAAGAAAAAGATAAGCTGAAAAGGAAAAAAAAAAGCATCAAAAGAAAAAAAAATGTGAACAGTGTTTTCGACCAAATCTGTGCGTTTTGGTCGAAATATTGTTCATTTACATGCACAGAGGCAGTGCATGGCTCAAATTTTATATTTGAAAAAATTGTTAAATTTTATTGGGTATAAATTTTTATCTCTTACTTTTAATTAATATCTTTTTAATAAATATAATTATTTAAAAAAATGATATTAATTAAGAATAAAGAATAAAAGTCTAGACTTATGCAGTTTAAAAACTATATTGATATAAATTAGCCCCCACTAAAATTAATCTTCTGGCTCCTAATATAAAATTAAGCTTATTAGCCCCTCCGACATAAATTTTTTTGACTTCGTCACTGTTTATTTGAACAGTATTTATTGATCTTCCTATATATGTATAGAGACGAAGATCCATTCTCTGTCCCTAAAAGCTTTATAGCTAGGGATGACAATTTTTCATGTTAATCCATTTATCAGTGGGGACCCATATTAAACGAGACAAGAAAAATCTGTTTTAAATGGATCCAGATTAAAAACGTATTAAATTTTTAACCCTTTGCGGATCACGGGACGGGAACATGTTTAGAGATTCTCGACCTTATGTTGTGTTTATTTGCGCCGTTTAATTACAGCCTATCTTTAAATTAGATATATTATGCATAATATGTTATAGTATATAATTTTAAGTATATTATTTTATATGAAAATTTAGAACTACATTTCTTTTATTTTTAACTTAATGTTTTTCTAGCAAAAAGAAATAATTAATGTTTTGTATGTTTATATTGTTTAATTATTTATTAATTTATTTATTTTACAATGAAAATAACTAATCGGGTAATGGGACACTACGAATATCTTGAATCAGTGATGGAGAAATCCGCCTTGTAACCCACGGATTCATGAGGCAGATACACTAAAAACTTGTTTGGTTGGGGGATTCGTCCCCTGATTCGAATCATGGTTCGTGGTTCACTACAGTATTTTCTCTCACAAAAAATAATTATAATCTATGAACTAAACGTCCTCTAAGTGTTTTTATTTGTGGGATGGGTTGGCGAGAAGACCACTTTACTCTAAATCTGTCCCGTTGCCATTTATATTTATAGCTTATTTTTTTTATCATTATTTTCTTAAAAATTTATTATGGTAGAAAAAATAGTAAATAGAGTACAATTAAAAGGCAAAACGTTTTTAATGGAGTGAATTCGACAAAAAGAAAATATTTAGTGGTATATATGAAAGAAATTTATCTAAAAAATTACGGAAAAATAATATGGCAGAGACACATTTTAAAACAAATATTAAAATTAATTAATTATAAAAAAAATAATTGATAAACATTTTCTGGTTTATTTTAATGTTATTTATTTATTAGATAGTTCTATTAAACTTTTAAAGAGAATGATGAGTTAAGAAAACGAACTAATCTTCTATTTTTTGTAAATTTTATTTTTGCCCCTCAAATTTTAAGTTTTTTGTTACCTTGTCCTCTAAACTTTAAAAATCTATTTACACACCTTTAAATTTTAAAACATTATTAACTTTGTCCTTTTTATTTATTTAATTAACAAATTTAATGACATGACAACTATTAAAGGGATAGTTTAATGCACTATTTTCATAAATATTCTAAAGTATGTGCCCTATTTTAAAATTTCTCATGATACATCAAAATATATTAAAATGTCCCTAGTCTATAGAAAATATAATAAAATAACGGTTTTACTGACGTAATATGTTCCCTAATCATGGAGAAAAATACTGTCCCTACCATAGACTTGCCCTTAAAAATGTTGTAGTTTTTTTAAAGGTTAAAAATTTTGGGGTTGTTCTTTTACAACAAAACTCAGAAATAGTTTAAACTCAAGTTATAACTTTATTCAAGTTCACGTTCTTTTAAGTTCTAACTTTATTCAACTTTATCCGTTTACTTCACCGATTCGAGTTTAGAATTTGAGTTTTACTACAGTAAAAAGTTCTCAGAAACAGTCACATCTAACTTTTTTTTATAGTAAAAAGCTCTTACATAAAATCACATCTCAACTTGAATTACAAACTCGAATCAACAAAGTGAACAGACCTTAACTTAAAAATTACATTCAAGTTACACTTAAAAAAACAATCCCTTTGTATTATGACGCACTATAGTCTAAAGGATGAAAATGTATCTTTTCCTTTTTCAAAATGAAAAAAAGGTACGAAATTATTGAAACTTTTTTTTATGGTGAAATTAAATTATTGACCTCTAAAGAAAGATAAAAGGATGGAAAATCATTCCACGTGATGACGTGAAAAAGGGTAAAAGGGTCGTTTAGTTCATGCCGGACTGTAAGAAACAGATGAACGACGTCGTTTCCTCGCTCTAAGCCTAATAATAATCACCCCTTTTCTTTCTTCAGTTCCAGTTCTTCCTCTCCATCTCCGTACTCGAAAGTTACTAAGAACTGCAAAATCCCCATTGACTCTCTCTGATTCTCTGCAACATTCATCTCTAACCCATGAGCTAGGGTTTATGGCCGAAGAAGCATAACAACAACAATTAAGGAGATTCAAGCTTTATTATACAACACGAATCGACATTAGAAGAAGAAGAAGCAAAGAAGATGAAGAAGCTAAGCGTTGTCCTCATTTCTCTTGTGATTTGCCTTCTCATTGCAGCTTCCACTGTCAGATCGGCTTCTTCTCCTCCCAAATTCCAGTTTCTCGGAATCGCTCCCGAAGGTTCGTACCCCAAATTCAATTTCTTCTCCTCTAATCTTATTAGATTTTATTTATAATTTTGTTTTGTTTTTGTTTTGTTTTTTTTTTCGTTTTTTGTAAATGTTATGAGAAGAATGATGATCGGCTAAATTGGGGACTTCTGTGGGTTTGTCTCAGATGAGAAATACTACGAGTCGTCGGAATTTATAAAATGTAAAGACGGATCCAAGAAATTCACCAAAGCTCAGCTCAACGATAACTTCTGCGATTGCGTCGATGGCACCGACGAGCCTGGTTTCATATTTTTCCTCTTAACCAATTTTTTTTTCCTCTTCAATTTGGTTACATTAACTGATCTTAACGTAGTTGTGGAATGATTATTTAAATTGGTAAAACAATTTTATTGGAATATGATGATTGTGGGTATTGGATCGCCTGCTTACTCTTGGATGGTTAGAGTAGCTGAGTGATTTTGTTCTTTGATTGTGAAGCTTTCTATTTTTTTATTTTTTTTTAATTTTTTTATTTTTATGGGTGGTTTGTAGGAACATCTGCATGCCCAAATGGAAGATTCTACTGTCGAAACAAGGGACATGTTCCTCAAGTATTATTCTCTTCAAGAGTGAATGATGGAATATGTGGTGGGTAGTTTCAGACCATTGACATCTGCTTCTCCAGTTTTCAACTGCTCTTAGAAATCGAAAATCTCTTAACCCATTTTACCTTGTCCTTGCTTTTCTAGTTTTCTGAGTACTTGTTCACAGTGGATTGTGCTTCCGTAGAATCTGGGCAGGCTCAACACTAGTTGAAGCATTAGGCATTAAACTCAATAAAAGAAGGAGAAAAAGAAAAAAAGAAGAAGAAGAATTTTGAAAAATTAATAATATGAGAAAAAGGATCAATACCAAAACTTTGGCGATTTGTCTCTCTGGGATTGAGGAAATGGAGTTTCAGATGGAGAATGCTTAAAGATTGATGCGGCAGTTGCTCAGTATTGAGGCCTTGCAATGGCAACTTGAGCCGGCAATAGTATACTGTGTAATGTCATCTATTGATAAAAAGAAACTCTTATCAAAGAACAAAAATTCATGATAAGAGAACTTTTTGGTGTGTAATTTAAATGCTACCAACAGCCAGGCAACACGAATCACGATTGTAAAATTGTTTGTGGATTGCTATTTATTTATAGATCCTTTGTCATGCTCTAATTTGTTTTAACTGGTTCTCAATCTCAGACTGCTGTGATGGGAGTGATGAGTATGACAATAAAGTAACTTGCCCAAATACATGTTGGGAGGCTGGGAAAGCAGCTAGAGACAAGCTGAAGAGAAAGATTGCAACTTATCAAGAGGGGGTTACTATAAGAAAGCAGGAAGTTGAACGGGCAAAAGCAGTTACTGCTAAGGATGAGGCAGAATTATCAAAGTTGCAAAGTGAAGAGAAAACACTTAAAGGGCTGGTCCAACAGCTTAAAGGTTTGTCATGACCTATAATTATGACCGCTTTAGTATTTTACTTGTTTTTAACTATGTTTAGTTTTGATCTTTCTCATAATTCTTGTTTAGTGTACGGATTCTTTGGATCTACAAATTGGTGAATATATGTTGAAATATATCCTACTATGTGGAAAAACATCTTTAGTAAGTTTCAATAGATTTTTCATGCTTAAGTTGGTTGCTTGTCCTCTAGTAGAGCTTTTAGGTTGACTAAGGTTTTGCATGAATTAAAAAGCTATAGTCATAGTCCCATTTTGGAAACTTTACATGTAATTGCAGAAAAAGCTGTTGTCTATCTAGGTTACAAGTAGGCTAAATGTTCGATTAGGCGCTTCTCTAAGCGAGTCTTGGTATATTGATCCGGAATGGATATCTACAAGATTCCACCCTTTTCCCATAAAGTGGTGAGACCCATAGATTTTTTCAGATATCCTAATGTTAGACCAAGATAGATTAGAGAAAGAGATAGAGAAGAAGAGAAGAACTAAGGGAAGTAGAAGAACTTAGAGAGAAGAGAATTGTAGAGAGGAAACATTTGTATTTAATAATATTCACCAAGGTCTGAAGTGAAAAATACAAATACTAGGTCTATTTTCAGATGCATAAAACTCAATAATAAGATAAACACAACCAAATAATGAATTACAGTTGGATAAACTTGAATAGTCCTAACAGATAAACTCATATTTTACCTTCTTAGTATTTATGTATTCGTTCCTCATCACATCCATTGATTTTTTTTTAAATTTTTTTATTTAACTGAAAGCATTTTGTTTTGTATTTTTCAAAACCAACCACCAAGCTTGCCTAGTTGGGAAGCATGTTAACCAGACCTAAAAGATTTATGTATCTAAATTGTGCGCTAATTGTCTACTTGTCGAAGGGGAAAGAAGAGTAGCGTGCCAATTTGTGTGTCATGATTAGATTGATTGATCCTTTACCTGGTACCAGTTCACTGCATAATTCACCAATCAAGTTCCTTGTGGCCAAATTTTGACTTGAAAATTTAGGATAAGGAACGACTTTGGCCATGCAGTTTTAGAGTGATCAGAAAGTTCTCTTCTCTTCTTGTGCCTTGGAATTTAGATAGCCCACTCAACGGTAGAGGCTAAAGTTGTGCTTGTCTTCTGTACAGAAGGTCAACAAAGTATAAATACTTTTGGCTATCATATGAATCTGTTTTTATTTTTCCACCTTGGCCATTTTTCCAATACTGAATGTAATTAATAAAATGCTACATATTCAGGTAGTTCTTTGGTAGTATACATGTTAGATTATAGAGCAGTTAATGAAAGACACGTAACATCATTTTTGCATCACCTCAGAGCGTAAAGAACAAATAGAAAAGGCAGAGGAGAAGGAACGCTTACGGAAAGAGAAAGAAGAAAAGGAAAAGAGAGAAGCTGAAGAGAAAAGAAAAGCTGAGTTGGAAGCCAAGCAGGAGAATGGTGAAGGTGTTACGAAAGCAGATGATGAATACAAAACCATAGAGAGTAAAGATGATGATAAGATAGGGTCTTTAGAGGGTTCTCCTTCGGATCAGGTTAGACTAGCTTTTCAGTTCATTTATTATTTCGCACTCACCCAGATACACACACACATCTTAGCTAATCAACTCTTTGGTACTTGTTTATTACACACCGGGACATTGCAATTCTTTGGTGTTTGTAATAATCTCCATGTTTAGCTATTGAACATAGCTGATCCAACTTGCAAGATGGATTTCCAGTTATCTGCAATTAGTCTATGAATGTAATTATGTAAATATTTTTTTTGCCTAGTTCTCACATTTGAGGGTTTCTAATAGGATACTATGGAGGACCATGATGCTTTAGCTGCTGAACATATACCTAGTGATGCTAGCGGAAATGAACAACCATCCTCCCTTCACGATGTGGAAGTGGTAACCAAAAAATATGTACATTATTTATTTTCTCTTCTCAAGTAAACATGTATGTAAAGAACTGGTGTTTGAGCTAGATTGCTTTTATGTTAGATTATTACACGATTCTGAACATGCTTCTGTCTGAATATAGCATCCAGCGAAAGAGATAGAAGAATCTGCAGCTATATCTGAATCTGGTCTTGATGTTGGAAGCAAGGTATCTCCTGAAGAATTAGTAAATACGGTATGTGTCCATAAACCAACTTTATTTATTGAGATTACGTATTTAGTTAATTTATAATTGCTTCATATGTACATGTAAGTTATCCAATATTAACTTGAAGAGTTTTTGTCTACCATATTACACATGAGCTTATAGATATGAATTTACTAACAGTAAATTCATATTTATAAGCTCATGAAAAAAATTATGAATTTACTGTTGGTGGTGACTAGTTATCTTTAGAAGTCCCAGATCACTGCATTTTGTTTTTCCTCTCTACTTCACGAGTAGATGATGCAACATGTGTGGAAAGGCTCGTCACTCTAACCTTTTCAGTTTCAGATTTGTTCCATGTATGACCTTTGGGTGGTTTTAAAGGTCACTACAGGGGAGCCTTGATTATAATTAATCTTATTTCTTAGTTGAATGAGCATGCGTTTTGTGGGCAGGTCAGGTAAAATTTCATGAGTTCTATGCAAACTTGCTAAGCTAAATCTAAAATCTCTATGAGTTCGGAGGGTAAAAGGAATGTTTAGTTCTGTTTTAAGTATATCTACTTTGTGACTACATACTTTCTACGTCGAGATTCTTTTCCCTAGTAGCTAAACACCCTAATCATCCAGGTCTCTTTGTTTTTGACAAAATTATTTCAATCCCTGGAATTTCTTGTTGGATGGTATATATAGGATCTATTTTGCATGTATCTTTTGTGCACTTGAGAATCTTTTGCTTTTTTAATTGAGGCCTAAGCAAGAGTTTCTGCTAGCACCTGTCTGATTTTGCTGCAGTTTTAAAGCGAGCTTTGATTTTTGGATAGCCCATGCTTTATAACGTAGCTAAGACACATTAAAAAAAATCCTTATACTTCTGCACCCAAACTCACCAACTTAATTTACACATGAGTAGGTTTGGAACACAAATTCTAATTCTTGTACCAACTTTGAGTTGTCATCTTTTCATTGGCAAACGCGGTCTCTTAATTAATGCAGCAATCTTTAAACAATTACCGATAGGAAAATGACAACTCAAAATTGGTATAAAAGTTGGGATAAGAGTTGGCGCCCCTAGCATTATTCTTTACACATTGTTGTTATGTATTTAAACACAATTGAATTTTTGCCTACGCCACTCCGCTTATGGTAACAATGTTATTTATTTTTCCCTGTGGTGCATATCAACTATTAACTTTTGGGGTCTTTTATCCCTGCTGAATTGTGGGTGTAATGAATTAATAGGCAAAAGGACCCTTAAATACTGAAATATGTTATTCTGAACCAGAGGAAGCTGTGTCTAGATGGACTTGTCATGAGACTATTATACAATATAACGTGTCTGGCGAAAATCATATAACAATATGATAGGTACTAGAACTGATTTAGAGCAAGAAACCCTAAGGCCTGTACAATTTCCCCTAAGTAGCTGAACTTCGAGAGCCAGCCAATCTCCCTTGCTTGGTTGTTCCAAGACTTCTTCCAGAATAAAACTCTCCACCCATTCTCTCTCCTTCCACTACCTATTTATATTTTTTTCCTTTATTCCCAACTCCCTAACAAATCCTTTAACAACTAACTCACAGCCCTCTGATATTACAACTGACTAACAAACTCAGCTTACCAACACTTACAAACCATCTAACAAACCCAACTGCCTACACGTGTACAATCATAACACCAATTCAGCCTACACATGTACAATCATAACACTAATTCAGCTTCTTCTCACATAAGTATAGCAAATTGCAGGCCTATCACAACACTGCATTGATGAGGGCTTCTATTTCCTTAATACAATTTGCCATAACCAACTTCATCATAAGGAACTCAGAAGCAGTACACCAGAAGTACTTATTTAATTCTTTGTGTTTTTAAAGTAAACATAGTTTACGGCTGGTTTTTGTATAAACTATAGCCACTAAAGTTTTTGTTTTTGTTTGTTCTTGTTCTTGTTTTTGTTATTGATTTTGTTTTGTTTTATTTTGTTTTTTGTTTTTTGTTTTTTTGTTTTTTTTTGTTTTTTTTTGTTTTTTTTGTTTTTTTAAACCATAAGTATGGTATGGCTGACCATGATGTATTGCCAGTATCCCACTCATATGTTATCAGATTGTGATACTATATATTTCCATTCGTGGAGATCTTATTTTATTTTATTTTTTCCATAGCAGCTTCTTAGGAAATTTAAACTATTTGCTTTTTGATGCGCCTTAAATCTTATTATGTTGTACTTGTCAGTCCGTGCTACTTTTTCGTGTTTTGGAGTTCCTTTTTTTTCCTGTTCATGAATGATTGTGATGCTATCTTTCACATGAGTTTATTGGTGCTTGCTTATCTTGATATCTTTAGGGCAATGATGTATCTGAAACTACCGAGGGATTATCGAAGGAAGAACTGGGTCGTCTTGTTGCTTCTCGCTGGACAGGAGAAGACACTAGGAAGCAAACAGAGAAGGTTGATGAAAAAGATAATGATCTTGAAGACAATGAAGGCACTGAAGAGATGCCAGACGACACACATGATCACGAAGATGATGGTTATGCTTCAGAAACTGATGATGAGCACCACAGATACGATGATGACATTGTAGAGGATGTAGAAGAAAACTATAAAGAGGATCCTCTTGATTCTAGTTCTTCGTACAAATATGAGTCTGACACTGAATCAGACTCGTCAGGTATCAGTTTGTTCTAAGTAAATTTTACGCTCCTTTTTTTAATTGCAGTTATGGCTATTTTAATTAGATTTAATTCTCATCTTACTGTCATGTTAATACATTTTAGACGAATCTTCCCCAAGTAGCTCTTCTTGGTTGGAGAAGATACAACAAAAGGTGCGGAACATTCTACAGGCTGTAAATCTTTTCCAGACTCCAGTGAATCAGTCAGGTAGCATTCCGGAGGTTTTAATTATCTGCATCTAAATTTTGGAAATAAGTATACTTATGTTTCCCATTTTGGCTTCCTTAGATGCTGCTCGTATACGCAAGGAATATGATGATTCCAGTGCTAAGTTGTCTAAAATACAAGGGAGAATATCAAGTTTGACACAGAAGCTAAAACATGATTTTGGTTAGTGTTTAATTATCTGCATTTGCAATTATGGCGTTAAAACTGACTTGGTTTGGCTAATTCGCGTTCCTCATATTGCAGGACCAGATAAGGAGTTCTATTCGTTGTACGATCAATGTTATGAAAGCAAGCAGAACAAGTAACACATTTTAGTATATTATTGCCGTTTCTTTATTACCATAGTTTGAGATTTTAATATGAAATACCAATTTCCTTTGATGTTACTTGTAGCTGACGTTGGTCTTATGGAAATCTTGGTTAGGTATGTTTACAAAGTGTGCCCATTTAAAAAAGCTTCCCAGGTAGAGGGACACAGTACAACTAATTTGGGGTAGGTATACTTGTGTCTACATTTGTTGCCTCTGATGTTCTTTTATGGCTCAGTAGCTGTTAAATAAACTGTGATTGGGTAATCAAATTTTTAGATGTCGTTCTCTTGTTTAGAACAAGGCAAGCACTTACAAAGATGCTCGGTTCTTTGGTTTTTTTTTTTTTTTTTTGGCCTAGTTTTGACTTGCGAGTCCAATACTCCAATCAGTTGAATTAATCTGCCTGCTGTATGTTGATAATTTTGCCTACTTTGTTTTATAGCTTATTGACTTGCATATAACTGCATTTTAAATCAGTTGAGAATATCGTTATTCTCTTCTTCTTAGTCTGGGGCACATCTTGCTAGAAACTTATGCTTTTTATCTTTATCTTCATTTTATAGTGCATATATTTTCATAAATCTGTCTCTTTTTTTTTTTGTTTTTTTGTTTTTGATAATAAACAAAATAAATCTTTCTTGTTCACTTTTGTTAACACTGCTACTTGCTTCTGTGTCTTTATTGCTCAAAATTCTGTTGCAACAAGGCGATGGGACAAATTTGAGGACTCATACAGAGTCATGGTGTTTTCAAACGGCGATAAGTGCTGGAATGGGCCTGATAGAAGTTTGAAGGTACGTTAAACGCCCTTCTTTTTTCGGTTGTTCGTAACTTATTGGTTCAGTTCTTTGTTTGAAGTGGAGTTGTTTTGTAGAATACTTTAGTTCACATACTTTATATTCATTTAATAAGTTCGTTATCTATGAGACAAATGTCCAATTCAGCGGTGAATTAAAACCACATTTGTATTTTGTTGTCCGTTTCATAACATATCTACATATGCTTTATTTCTCCTTCAGGTTAAGCTTAGATGTGGATTGGAAAATGAGGTTACTGATGTAGACGAACCAAGTCGTTGCGAGTAAGTTTTCCTCCCCCCTCTCTTTCTCTCTCTCTCTCTCTCTATTATTCTCCTCGCATTGTTTCATTTTTCATGGCAGATATGTAGCATTGTTGTCAACCCCGGCCCTATGTCATGAGGAAAAACTCAAGGTACGTTCCGATAAATTTTGAATGTTAACCCCCTTTCTCTTTCACTAGTTGTCTAATTCCAAGGATGATCGAATTGACAGGAACTGCAACATAAACTAGACTTGATGAACAAGGAACAACCACAGAGCCACGATGAGCTTTGAGTTCTCTCATGGATTTTTCCCTTCACCCTGCGGATAGATTATCGATTAATTTCCTTTTGGATGTAATAACTAATATGGGACATCTCCAGTGAGTCCTAAAGCGACACATTCAATTAGTGAGCTGAATTTTTGATTCTAAAAGACACTCATTGAACAATATTTACTTGGGTGGGGTAGGTTGAAACCTTTCTATTTCGGAAATGGATAGATTCTGTCTTACATTTTTCAAGTAAACTAATACAAGAATATTTTAGTACTAAATATTTAGGTGCCTGAGAATTAGTTTTCTTGTCATAAAAAAGAGGAGAAAAAAAATTTCTTCTGGTTTGCTTCATATTCTAGCATTTGTGTTTTGTATTCTACTTGGTTTTCTTCAGCTTAGGAAAACACCAATACATTTTGGATTATAACAAGGGCTTGACCAAAACTAATCACTCCAAAGGCGTCCTCAGTTTGGATTGTAGGCTGCTACTCAACTACATGAAGCCGAGCCCCACGATTACATGAAGCCGAGCCCCACGCTTCAGAAAAAGTAAAAAGGTATGGATTAAGCAATAAAAAGTACACAAGGAATGAGAAAAATTGGTTACAAGAACCGAAGGTTAGGCCGATCGGTTTTGTTTGACCGATCCATCTTTCTATAAGCAAGCTCCCTCTGGCCATCAAGTCCCTGGGCGGGGCTGGGGCCTATGAGTACGCAGGATGAAAAAAGTCTTTTCTTAGTACAAAACGTATTCTGTAGTGAAACCGGGTGTGGTGCTTTTGCTTCATTCAAAAGGAACTCAGGGCCGTGGCCGTCCCCAATTTTTAACTTTCCTATTGAGATTTTTGAAACAAAAATTTAATCAAATAATTATTATTAGCATATTACAATTATTTACCTTCTTCTTCATATTTAATAATTAAACATTTAATTTTCTTATCTTTTATGATGATTGATTTTTATTCTTTTTTTAATGATATATATATATATATATGAAATGTATTCCATCGGGCAGCAACTGTTTACCGGATTAATTTGTCCGTGCAATTGCAGCCGTTGAATTAAAAGTGAAGGGTCATATTCATTATTCTTAAAAGGTTCAAATGATTACACACACACACACACTTCCGTGTAATTGCAGCCGTTGGATTAAAAATGAAGGGTCAGAATGAATTGAAGGGCAGGCTATAAGATCCCAAAGTAGCCTAGACATGTAGGCTATCAGTAACAAAAGCAGGTAGGTCAATAGGTTTAACGTCTGATTATACAATGTAATACGTAACTTTTTGAGTAACAACTTGTCTCTATTGGTTAAGTGCATATGTAACTGATTAAACATCTATTAATACTCGTTCAACAAAAAAAAAAAAAAAATCTATTAATATATCCCTAAATCTAATGGTTTCTTCACATAATATGTAATACTGCACTCTTTTGAGACTCAATCTTCCGTCTGTAGTTCAAAACATTGAGGCAACTGATTATACATCTACTTATACACGCCCTAAATCTATTGGTTTCATTAGACTCTTGTTATGGTTGCTTTATTCCACACGTTGTGATTGATATCGCCGCCTAAAATTCTCCTCCAAACGGCCTTAGAATTATTGTTAATGTCTGTTTAGTGGTGTAGGCTATGGTGTATGGAGAAGGGAAACCACGGGTCTTTAATAGTAGAGATATGGTATTTAAAGAAACTGAGATGTATTATGCCAAGGAAAATGGGTCAGTAGGGTCTAATGGCAATGAAGCTAGTGATACACTTCAGTTGGAAGTAGAGTCACCAGGAAGATTAATTGCATATGAAAGTACTGATGTTGACCAAGATGTGGAAGAACATTCGGATCCCTTACAAGACTATATGCTGGGCAGAGACAGACAAAGAAGACAGGTGAGACCACCAGAAGGTTTTTGGATATGCATATATCGTAACTTTTGCATTAATAGTGACAAATGATATCGAATCCTCAGAACCAAAGAATTTCTTAGAGGCGGTTAACAGCAAGGAGTCTGAGAAGTGGTTAGAAGCTATGAGTCAGGAACGTGGGAATTGGTGAAGAAACCTCCTGAATAGAAGATTGTAGGCTCGAAGTGGGTGTATAAGTACAAAGAAGGAATACCAGGTGTTGAGAGTGCGAGATACAAGGCCAGATTGGTGGCCACGGGCTTCACACAAAGAGAGGGAGTAGACCATAATGAAGTCTTTTCGCCGGTGATCAAGCATAGCTCAATCCGGATGTTACTGTCATTGGTGGCTCAAGATAATCTAGAGTTGGAACAATTAGATGTAAAAACATCATTTTTTAAATGGAGAGCTTGAAGAAGATATCTACATGGCTCAACCCGAAGGATTTATCACTAAAGGCAAGGAGGATATGGTGTGTTTACTAAGGAAGTCACTCTATTGTTTGAAGCAGTCACCACAACAGTGGTATAAAAGGTTTGATTCTTTTATGATTCATAGTGGTTTTACAAGGTGTGAACATGACATTTGTGTGTACTATAAGAAAGTTACAGAGCAGGATCAAATATACCTCTTACTCTATGTTGATGACATGCTAGTGGCTTGCAAGCAAGGTTCAGAGGTTGATAAAGTAAAGGGACTGTTGAAAAATGAATTTGAGATGAAGGATATGGGTCCTGCTAGTAAGATCTTAGGCATGGAGATCATAAGAGATAGGAGCAGTGAAACATTGTTCTTATCACAGAGGGGATGTGTAGAAAAGATTTTGAGAAGATTCAATATGAATCAATCGAAATCTGTTCAAACCATATTGCTTGATACTTTAAGCTGTCAATGGAAGATTCACCTAGCACAAAAGAAGAAGAGGCCGAGATGCTGCAGGTTCCGTGTGCAAGTGCAGTGGAAAGCGTCATGTATTTAATGGTTTGTACTCAGCCAAATCTGTCATATGCGGTGAGTGCCATAAGCAGGTATATGGCAAATCATGGAAGAAACCATTGGGAGGCAGTCAAATGGGTGTTGAGGTATCTAAGAGGGACTAAGGATTTTGGTTTGCTCTGTGGAGATTCAGAGGACAAGGAAAGTTTGGTGACAAGTTATGTTGATTTTGACTATGCTGGTTGCTTGGATAATATGAGGTCTTTGACGGGATACGTGTTTAAATTATGTGATAATGTTGTGAGTTGGAAAGCTAGTTTGCAGCATGTGGTTTCTCTGTCTACAACTAAGGCTGAGTTTATAGCAGTAACTGAGGCTATTAAAGAAGCAGTGTGGATGAAGGGAATGGCTGAGGAACTGATCAATAGTGTTATGTGTGATAGCCAAAATGCAATTCATTTGGCTAAGAATCAGGTTTATCATGAGAGAACTAAACATATAGATGTCAGGTTGTACTTCATCAGATATATAATTTAAGCAGGCAAAGTCAAGCTTGAGAAGATCTCTACTGAAGAGAATCCTGCTGACATGATATAGCACACGGAAGATCAAGATTTGGGGTTTTGTAATTAGTCCGATAGCACTACTCTGTATTCTCGATTCTAGGCTTTATCTTCTGTATTATAGATAAGTGCAGTAGTCCATATTGTAACTAGACTTGTGAGATAGAAAATTCTCTGGTGTAAAGAGTGAATTTCTCTAAGAGTGATTTGTAGCTTTTGTCTCATCAATAAAAACTCTTGAGTATATACACTGTTGATTCAATTTCTTCTCTAAGTGTGCTAAATTTCCTTTCTTGGTTATTTTCTGGTGTGATTTCTCTGTTTGCACTTACACTTCCATCCTTGGAGGAGATTCAGCTTTCCCATAATGCATTCGACGGTCCACTTCCAGAGTTTCCAAATTCGTCTTCCTCAATATTGGCTCTATTAGATTTGAATAGCAACAACTTAGAGGGGCCTATCCCAGTGTCTATCTTTAAACTTAAAAAACTCACTACCCTCTCTCTCAATTTCACTTACAATACAAAGAGAATCAAGCATTAGCCAAAAAAAAAATAAAAAAAATAAAATTAAATACAAGGAACTGCAAAATTTAAACATGAGTAAAGAATAGCCTTATACCATAATGAGCATTTAAGCAAGCGTTGATCTGTACAGGAACTCTGCTCCTTCCCCAAAGCCACCTGCAGTGTCGAGATGGCCCACGTATGTGCCAAAAAAAATAACTGCCATCATTCACATGTGAAAATGTGAAAAAATGTATGACCGGGATGGAAATTGTTCAGGCTTTCTTCAATACATAATTACATATGTATAAACGTATGCACTCTTATAACGAGGGAAAACAACCAATTAATGGAATGTTGGAAACAAGCAATTTTTATGCAAATCCAGGTTTACTAGGATGTTAAATTGCTAAAATTATAATCGAGAAAGAGGAAAGGACAGAGTGAGGAAGACAAAATAAAAGAAGGATAAAAATTGGAAGAACACGTAGATAAAAACTTCAAAATTGCTACCAACTTAAGTAAATATGCTATTTACTTTCAAAAAGATTCAGAAGTATGTCTTTCTATGTTTTTCCCTATAAAGAACTACAAATGTTTGGATCCTTAAAAATCGTAGGATGAACCAACTTAGCAGTAACTTAATGAAAGACTGTTGACTAAAAGAACAAAAAACCTGAATGAAATACTAAATTGAAAAGCTAGAATAGGAGAAAAGAGATGAAAACTGAAGCCGACATCAAAGTTGGCGAAAAAAGGAAAATCATAGGAGCAACACTTGCCTTCTAAATGATGAATGGTGCAATTGCCAGACGCTGCTTTAAACTACAATAACAGCCTCTCCAGAGGTCTTCATTTTGGATCCAAATTGTCGATCTTCAAATAACCAAAACTTCATGAAAATGAGCTGCTGTTGGAAGTCTATTCAGAATGAGAGGAAAGCTTGATAAACTGTATATATATTCAAATAGCAGGTTTGTTTTACACAAATTAAAAGCTATATATAGGCTGCAATAATCATTTATAACTGTGAAAACTCTAAAAACCCAAACTTTGACCATATCAAGTAGTAAGTATCCTTTGTTTTTAATGTAAAATAAATGTAATTAATAATTTGAGAGGCCATAGATAAATTATGCAGAGTGAGCAGAGTAGAATTTAAAAGATTAATCTTTTTATTTGGATGGAGTATTAGAGGTTATGGAGATGCTAATGATCTCCAAAGAGAAATAAGTAAATATGTTGAAGCTTATGATTATGTGAAGACTACCTTAGCATAAATCAATGATGTTGTAGAATTAGAGAAAACATACAAATTACATCTAACTTGGAAGAGAAACTCCAAGCTATATATCAATCACAGCAAATGTTGAAATTTAGTTCTTAGGATGTGGTCTGTCTGAATTGGAGTTTGATGTTGTTGACAATATGTGGTTCAACCCTGGCCATGCAATTTGTTGTCACCAAATTCCTCAAGATCTTGGAGATATAGGATGTGAATGCCACAGTTTGTTATTCTAGGACTCCAATCAAAATATGAGTTTTGAGGAATCTGTTCAACATGAAACTGAAACGAAGCCCTTGTTGCATCTTGATCACAGTCATCCTAGTCCTTGTAGAGATACCAGACGAATATCCAAATCTGTTCAAAAGTTGTTTGTCTCAACGAGACATCCCAATTATGTTTCCGCACAGTGGAATCTTCATGGTTCGTTGTGAAATGGTATGCACAACCAACATTCAACTGAACAACAAAAGGACGACAAACGTCAACAGCAACGCATACAGAAAAACCTAAGATGTTGGTATCATGCCAATCCGGAGAAAACTGGAGTTCTATTGAAGATCGTTTAGACTGATGATTGAACCACTTCGGAATGCTATTTCCTTCAAGACAAAAACTGATTGTAGGATATTTCGACTTCTGTAGGACGAAAAGGGAGATGATTATTCCCACTATGAAAAGCTGGTCAAAATTTATATATGAACAATACAAGAAAGAAACATACCCCTAGTTCTTCATGTCTTGAACGAAAATATTCAGTTGCTGCACGCAAAAAGGAAGGCTGGAGCTCAGACGTCACAACATTGCGTTCCTTATTAAATTTAGAGGGTTTCCAACAAGAATGTTGAGCGATATTTTGAGGAGTCGCACAGCCGACTACCTGAAAAATAATAATGTTAAAACGTCATTCAATTTTGACAGTTATTCTTTCATGACCACTGGTTCTGCTTGGATCTAGCATTGGAAATAAAGAGAAACCGTAATGCCAATCAATAATTTTGGATATACCACTGTCAAAACGGGCAAAAGCCAACTTTGAAGCCAACTGATGTCAAAACGGGCAAACTTTGAAGTTTTGAACAACAAGAAAGGTCTACATATTGAAGACTCTTGATATTGTAGACGTTGTTAACATACTCGAGATTTTGGCAAGATCCCAAAAGTAAATAACGTACGGACTCTGGTAGGTCTTTAATCCTTGTTCCATTTAAATTAAGCCGGCTAAAATATTCCAGAGGCTCCAAGATTTCTGGGAAGCTTTTAAATTCTGAGCAATGAAACAGATCAAGAATCGCAAGACGCTTCAACTTACAAATGCTTGTTGGGAGTGTATCAAGCCTTGTGCAATTTGTCATTTGTAGAACCTCATGAAGTGGAAGATACTCAAAAGGATGATGGGGGCACTTGTTCTATTGCTGTGTCTTTTAGATATTAGCATCCGTTTACTTTTTGGAACCTCATCTGGTAACATTTTAAAAGATAAGCAACTACTTAAATCTATTCTTTGTTCCCTATATCACTACAAGAAAAATGGGCTTTTGTGACGACAAAAAGTTGTCGCAAAAACCCCAATGTCGTCGCAAATAGTAGTTTTTGCGACGACATGTCGTCGTAGATATGTCGCGGCAAAAAAATAGTCGCAAATACTTTATTTGCGACGACACACTGTCGTCGCAAATACATTTGCGACGACATTTTTTTTTTGCGACGGCCGTCGTCGCAGATACTCCGTTGGTTAATTTGTCGTGATATAACATTTTTTGCGACGACAATTTCAAAAAGTCGTCGCAAATAATTCAATTTTTTTTGCGACGACAACTATAAAAATGTCGTCGCAAAAACTGTAATAATTTTTTTTTTGAATTTTTTAAAAAATGGCAATTAATTAATTTTTAATAATTTTAATTAAACATTATTATGTTACATACTGAGTATAATTTATTAAGATATATTAAAAGTAAAATATAAATTAATATTAAAAATAATAAATCTAAATAAATTTATAAAATATATTATGAATACTACATGAAGTGCATATATAATGTTCAACAAAATATAAAAGTCTAAATAAAGTGAAAAATCATACAGAACATATAACAGAACTATTCATCTAGGTTTGCAGCATCGCCAACAACTGAATCATCATCTGAAGGAGGCAGAGGAGCGTCTAGGTTAACTGGTTCCGGACGAGCAATCGTAGGTAATTGGATGTTGGGCTGCAATCTAGACACCAACTCGAACATCTTCACCTGATTGTCATAAATCTTCATTTGCTCCCGGTACGATTTCCTTAAATAACGATCCATACGCGGGTCAGGTTGAGCCGATGATGTTGCGTCCGAGAATGAACCAGCAGATGAAGGAGAAGCCCCGGAGTAATGCTTTTGGGAGAGCATCGGACCCACTCCTTTCTTATGTCCTCTACGCATGCCAAGAACTTGCTCCAAAACCCCATGCTGGTCAAGGGGGGGTCTAGTCGCGCTTGAAGTAGTCTGTGTTCTATGTCTCTCCTCCTCCAGAGTGTTCTACATAATAAGACATTATAATTATTTTTACGTGATATAAAACTACTATTTTAGTATACAAAAATTTAATAAGAAAATTAAAAATACTTACGAAAGTCTGTTCCGATGGGTATTAACCCAAGAGTCCCCGCAACGATGCATGTCCGCCCAATTGTCTATAGCAGACATCGGCTCTTGGGTCTCCGTACTGGCCTGTGAAATAAATTACTTTTATTAAAATTCTTAAATTCTAACTAAATTTCGGCAGCATAACGACTTATTTTTCATATAATCCAAAAATCAAAACCTGTAAAAAAACAACTTTAAAAGATTTCGGCACACCATAACTGCAAGATGTGCCACCCAGAACAAGAATCATAAACATATAAATACGATAATGATCAAAAAATAAGTATGAACCTTCTTATTGCGATGCTGAGAGTACGATAACCGACCATGTAGGCTTGGATACTTTTAGTTGCTGCGATTACTTCTATTTGTCTATGATATTTTCTGTTTATGATTAACTATAATAAGTAATAATTACTTGAAATTATGTATAAAAAATCATGAAGTTCTAACAAATCTATAATTACTTGAAATTTGTCGCCGGAGAACCTATCGCAACAACGATCCCAATGAACTTGATTTGTCATATTATTCGGGAGACTTTCTCTACCGTAGCGTTTGTAATGGCGGTGCAAGGAACTTTTCCAGTCCTTGTAGCACTTTGCTGCCTCCTTATCAACAACGGACCTCAGAATGCCGTTCTTGTAGTTATAGTCCATGTTAAACCAATCCTTGCAAAACAGTTTCACATCGTTAAAACGCATTGTTAACTATAGTATAAACTATACAAAATGTACCATAAAAAAAATACCAGCATCCGGTCCTGAATTGTCCTCTTGTCCACGTCGCTAATGTCCTTCCAAGCATCGTGGAAGGGCTC